TTATTATTATTTTTTACAAACTTTTCTCTTTTCTTTTTTTCAAAGTATGACATAGCAACAGACAAGTGCAGAAATCATAAATGTACTTACTGTTTAATAAATTTTCACAAAGTGACCTCCACCCACACGTCAAGTTGCCCAGGCAGAATGCTCCCAAAAGGTGAACATGAATATGACTTCTATCACCATCCATGAGTTTTGTTTCTTTGTTTAAGGTTGAGTTGAATTCACTGAAATAACGAGTCATTTCATGATCACACATAATGAGAAGTCTAGATGCAGGTGTTTCCAGAGCTGAGGCATCCAGGGCACAGGGCAACCCATCTGCGAGACCGTGAGGACAGCCCATCGTGGCTGGCAAGGTGCTGCCTCAGCCCGAACATCACCCTCTCACATGCTATGTTGCAGGAAGGAAGCAGCACTGACCAGGCTAATGAGGCATCTCAAGTGCTTTCCTGTTTTCTCAAGCACACGGAACAGGAGCAAGGAGGCTGGGAAAGCCAGTGACCCTTTTTTCAGACAATGTGATAGGAGATAGGTAAAGAGAAAGAAGGTTGGGTGTCATTATGACAGTCAAATAATTTCCTTGGTTTCCTACCAGGCCCATTCAATGCTAAGAAATCAAGTAGTATAAATATTTATTTGGTTCCAGTGTCTTTTTCTGCCAAAGAGTACAATCATTGCTCTGGAATTTTCTGTTCTTATTGAGCTCCTTGAGGTATCAAATTTATTTATTCATTTATTTTTTGTTTTGTTCTTTATTTTTCCTAGTCTTATTGAGATATGCTTGACATACAGCACTATATTAGTTTAAGATCTATAGAATAATGATTTGACTTACATGTATCATGAGATGAATACCACAACTGGTTAATATCTAACATGTAGATACAAAAAAAAAAAAAAAGAAAAAGAAAAAATTCCTTCCTTGTGGTGAGAACTCTAAGCTCTTAAGATTTACTCTCTTAGCAACTTTGAAATATACCATACAGTAGTATTAACTATAGTCACAATGTTGTATATTACATCCCTAGTAGTTGTTTATCTTATAATTGGAAGTTTGTACCTTTTGACCACCTTCTTCTAATTCATACCCCCTTCCTCTGGTAAACACAAGTCTCATCTCTCTTCCTAAAGAGTTTGGTCTTTTGTTTTTTTTTACATTCTACATATAAGTGAGGTCACACAGTTTTTGTCTCTATCTGACTTACTTCACTTAGCATAATACCCTCAAAGTCCATCCACATTGTTGCAAATGGCAGAATTTCCTTGTTTTTCATGGTTGGATAATATTCCATTGTATATATATATTCCACAACTCCTTCATACATTTATCTATTAATGGACACTTAGGTTGCTTCCACATTTTGGCAGTGTTTTCATTTATTTCAGATAAAGTTCCAGAAGTAGGATTGCTGGATTGTATGATAGTTCTATTTTTAATTTTTTGAGGAACTCCATATTGTTTTCCATAATGGCTGTACCAATTTACATCCCCATCAACAGTGTACAAGGGTTCCCTTTTCTCCATATCCTCCCCAATATTTGCTGTCTCTGTTTTTCTGGTGCTAGCCATTCTAACAGGTGTGAGGCAGTACCTCATTTTGGTTTTGAGTTGCATTTCCCTAATGATTGTTGAGCATCTTTTCATGTACATGTTGCCAGTTGCATATCTTCTTTGGAAAAATGTCTACTCAGGTCCTCTGCCCATGCTTAACTGTATTTTTTTTCTTTTTGCTATTGAGTTGAATGAATTCTATATACATTTTGGATATTAACTCCTTATCAGATATATGGTTTGCAAATATTTTTTCCCATCCCATAAGTTGTCTTTTCATTTTGTGGATGGTTTCTTCTGCTGTGAGTTTTGCCTGTTTTGAACTTAATAAACTTCAAATTAACTCATAGTCTTTATTCTGATGTGCTTGGTTTCATTCGCACCATATTCTTTCTGTGAAATTTCATTCATACTGTTGTGCACAGCAGGAGTTTGCTCATTCTCATTGCTAAATGGTATTCCTTTTGTGAATATTCTACCATTTAATTATCCATTCAATTGTTGATGTGGATTTGAATTGTTTCAGATAGTTTGGTGGAGAGTGCTTACAGTATTCTTGTACACATCTTTTGGAAAGCACACATTCATTCTTCTGTTGGATATATATTTGGAACTGAAATTTCTGAGAACTAGGGTATGTGTATTATTGGCTTTAGTAGATACTGCTAGTTTTCCAAAATGGTTGTACCAGTTTACATCACCACCTGCAGAGAATGGGAGTCCCAGTTATTTCACATCTTCACCAATATTTTGTGCTATGTAAGTTAGACAAGGATGTCACAAGTATATAATGGTATCTCATTTTAATTTGCTTTTCCCTGAGATTAATAAAGTTGAGCACGCTTTTATGTTTATCTTCCATTTGCATATCCTCTGCTATGAAGTTTTAAAAATGAGTTGTCTCTTTATTATTTACAAACTGTTTTGGTATCAAAGAAAGCTATCAAAGCCTCCCTGACACTAACACTCACATACGGCATCTGGGGGCGTTCATACCATGTCTTCTTTTAGAAGGACACATGGAGAATCTGAATGTGATTGTGTGCGCTCAAGTGTTAAAAACTGCAAAGGGCTGCTTACAACATAATGATCATCATTGGAAGGGCTCATGTAGAAGCTGGTGTTTCTTTTTCGGGACCGGGCATTCTAGAAGGGAGGCCCACACAAGGGTCCATAGGAGGACATCAAAGTCTTCCTGACTCATTTCACTGATGCCCCACAGAATTTCATATAGGTCCCTCCTTTGCTTATCACATCATTGTAATTATTTATTTACTCACTTGTCTCTTCTCCTAGACCTACATTTGGCAGGGCTATTTTTCATCCATTTTGTTGGGGCAGAGAAAGGATGTAACAGGCTTTGGCCCCAGGTAGTTTCAGGGAAACCACCCTCAGATGGGTTCTCTGCCATCTCTGGATTCCTGTATCCTTTCTTCACACCACTCAGCTTAGTCCTTAATTACAGTTTCTGTGATCATTTGATTTTTTTGCATTCTCTTGTCTATAAGCCCACTGAATCTGGCACCCCTTCCACTTTATCCACTATCCTACCTTACACCAGTGCCTGGTAGGTAATTAATATTAGCCAAAAAATAACTGAAACAGCATGGATTTGAATCCCAGAGATGCCCCATTGTATGGCATGGCTCCATCTTTTCCTTAAGCCCCCACAAAATGGGGTTACTTCTGGAGACTGCTATGGGAAACATATAATGGAAAGACTGGAATAGTACAGGGGGATGGGATTTGGCCTCCCAGTTCCTCCCCTAACTTGCTGTGTCTTTTTCCCTCCAGCAAGGACCTTTGTTCTGCAGATTATGAGGGGAAAATTTGGACTCTGGACTAAAGGATCTCCTTAGCTGGATCCTGGGGCCCAAAGTTACATTTCCACTTACAGGAAAATGCTGAGAAACGTGCTGAGCTAGTACCGGGGCCTGAATGAGGGCTTGTCCAGCATCGAAGAGCAGGCAGACCTTGGTGGCAGGAGCCACAAGCACATGGTTTTTTCTCATGCCCTGAAACCAAATGGGGTTTGCCTAACTGGATTTTGAAACTGCTTAGAACAGATGACTCCTTTCTTCCTTCCGCAACAGGAATGTCTATAACTGTTATTCTATGTCTGTTCCATCATTGAATTTTGGGAGCAGATAACTTGTTTCTTGATTTTGCAGGCTCACAGATGTAGCACAATTGTGCCTCTGGATGGATTAAACCCAAAGCCTCATTTGTACCTGATTTAGATGATTCAGTTTAGATGATAAGATTTGGGACTTTTGAGTTGGTAGGATTTAGACAAGATTTTTGGATTTTGAGTTGATGCTGTAACATGTTGAGACTTTGGGGGATATTGGGATAAAGTGAATATATTCTGCATGTGGGATGGAAGTGAATTTTTGCAGCCTGCAGGGTTAATTGTAGTAGGCAGAAAGATGCCCATGTCCCAATCCCTGAAACCTGTGGAGATGTTACATGACATGGCAACAAGAATGAAGGTAGCAGATGGAATTACGGTTGCTAATCAGTTGACTTTAACATAGATAGAGTATCCTGGATAATCTGAGGAGACCCAATATAATCACCAGGGCCCTAACTGTGGAAGGAGCGGCCGAAGTGGAGAGCCAGAGAGATGGCAGAGTGAGAAGGATTTGGCTCAATGCTGCTGGCTGTCAAGACGGAGGAAGGAGGCCACACACCCAGCAATGCAGATGGCTTCCAGAAGCTGGAAAAGGCCAGGTACCTGCTCCCCTAGAGACTTCAGAACTGTCAGATAATTGTGCTAGTTTAAGTCACCGGGTTTATGGTAACTTACACAGCACCAAGAGTAAATGAATACAAGTCCTGGCCTGAAATGTACTCTTCTGGGATCTTAGACAAGTTGTTTCAGCTTTGCATTCCTTAGTCCTTACTCCTCAAAATAAGAACTGCTGTTAAGAATCTAAAGTGACAAATAGGCAGAAGTGCCTGGCACACAGGTGCTTGATAAATGTGGACTTCCAACTTCCCCCCTTCTTCCAGGTTGAGGAAATCAGGGAAGGAAAGTGGGGGCGCAAGCAAAAGCAGTTCTCAGTGGTGCACCCTCTTCCCTTTGATGCAGGAGTCTGTCTGCAGACTCCCCAAGCCACCTTATCAAGAGCACTGCTCCTTATCTGCCTTTGGGGGAACCACAGCTCCTCCCTCTGACAAAAACCCCCTTTGGAATACAAAAGCTCTTTAGAAGAGCCTGACATGAGAGCAGAGGCAGAGCCTCATTCAGCAAACAGGCTTTCAGAGATGAAAGAGCAGCTCAGGCACTGATATCCAAAGGCCAGTGGCCAGTGGCCATATTTCCCACTGAAACAATTAGGTGGTGCCCCAAGGTGAGGAAGACCCATTCAAAGAGACTGGACAACACAGACTGGACAACGATTTCCCCTCCTCCTAACCACAGCCCAAGACAAACATCCCAGGAGTCCAACTCCTTTATTAGTTGTGTTATGGGCTTTTATTTAAAAAGCACATTTAATACAGGTATAGTTTCGCAGATACAAGTTTTCACTTTGTATTCTACAAAAGTCTTTGAATATTATTCTCTTTACAAAATGGGACCTTACAAAAATACTGACAATTTAATGTTTTTATACAGCCTTCTCTAGTTGTAGTTATTCCTTTCATTACAAAACAATGTCTACCACAGAACTATAGTATTTTAGTTGATATTAAAAAAAATTAACTCAATGCTTTTTTAAGCAGCTAATGTAAATAACACAGGTCGAGACACAGTTTATAATCATAGTGGATATAGCTAAAATTGTTTCAGAAATAATATTTTACATAGTTAACTTTTAATGTTTTATACATTATTTATATAATATTTATATATAAAAATCATAGCTTGCTATAAGTTGAAATGAAAAGGACAGCTTCTGTAATAAGGACATGCATGTGGCTGATCCATGTGGTTACATTTAGCCCTTTGAAAGGTTTGCGTCCAAGATCTGAAAGCATTTCTTCCTTCTTTCCTCAAAGGTTTAGTAGAAGGGATGCCTGTCTACTGCCTACAGTGGGACCTTGCTGGGAAGGACACTTACAGGTAGAGGTTGAGGAAAACGCTACGGAGATCTAACCCATGTGTTCCGCCCAGCAGAACCTACCAAGAACTGCCCTAGAGATCAACCCCAAGACAATAGTGCTTTACACAGCTTAGCAAGAACAACTCCCAGACACCCTCAGCTCTGTTCTCTGGCAGGGCAGCCTCTCAGGCGCAAGACTGTCAGCTTCTCTGGCTCATTTTGACTTTGAGCAGCCAAAAGGGTGCTTCATTTCTCATTCTTGTCCCTCACACCTCCGCTCCTTGTACGGAAGGCTGCTTTCCATCGGCCGGCAGCAGGGCTCACCTTTGCTCGTCTCTGAAGCCTCACAGGAAATCCTCGTGGGCACTCGGCAAGGACTTCCAGGGAGAAGGCAATGACCAAAGCTAAAGATCACAAGTGCCCGGGTGACTGACGGACACAGCAGGAGCATCCTGCAACTGACGTTTCACCATCACAGGAAGAGGCTTCAAAAGAAGACAAACGAGGGCCGGTACCCTCAACCTCTTCTGAAGCTTGTGCTATTTGTGAAATTCACTCATCCACAAAGAGTCTCCTAATCACTATGGTGAGGGACTGCGGTTGCTGGCCTATCAGTGGGGCAAATGAATGATAAGGCTGGACTGGGAATCTGGATTCAGGATCTGATCACTGGACCGAGCAAACTTGCTCTTTCCTTATATTAAACAAAAACAAAACAAGAAGAACAAAACTTCCTGAACTGAAGTCACAGGACAGACTAGAGTGGTGTGGACAAGGAGACACAAGAGGGGAGCCCCCAAATGGCTGCTTTCTGGATTCAGTGCTATTTCTGGCATTGTGTGCTAACATGTGAATATGAATTTTTCTCACAGGCCTGGGATTCGTCAGGTTGCAAGGGTGACCAGCAGACTCCACTCACATCGTTTTAGTGTTTGCTTCAAGAATAAGCCCGTGTTCACTAGAACATGAACACTTAAACCAATTGCACACCCAGGATTCCGGCACTTGGTGTGAGTTTGCTGCTGTTCCGGATAGGTGAACATGACCTATTTTGGAAGGCCACAAAGTAAGACTTTTTTTTTTCTTTTTAAAATCCATCGGGTAAAAAGTTTTTTTCCCTACATTCTACTGTCTGATGAGATTGGAGAGCAGCAAGAACTTGCTGTCTGCAGTCATTTTACAAGAACAGCTCAGGAGGCGAGTGACACCTACACCATGTTGTGGTGATTGTTCCTGTCAGTAATGTCCACAGGTGAGAGAATTTCCTTCCTGATGGCAGGGGAAGGCAGGCAGAGTGTCGTCTTGGTTTTGAACAGGTCAGACACGAAAAAAACCTGGAAGTACAAAATCAGAGACCCAGCTCAGTAACTGACACCTGGGGCCCAGGGACAGAAAGGTGAAGGGCAGATCACAGGAGCACAGACTTTAGGAAAAGGGAGTCCCAAACCATAGAGCTTTGAACAGGGAAGGACCACAGAGATCATATTGTCCTACTATTATTGTACAGATAGAGAAACTGAGGACCAGAGAGGGCAATGATATGCCCCAGGTTGCACAGCCATGGTAGGAGAAAAACTCAGTACTGTGGACTCTCAGTACGTTACTCAGTATCTGCAAACCAACTTCCTTATTTCTCAAGGCAAATGAATAGCAATGAAGGATAAATTCCTAAACTAAGGAAGCAAGTCATTATTAGTCAGTCATTAATCCAGGATACTTTCCCTTTCCTCACAAAGGAATCCAGGGTGTAACCAAAAAAGAGCAGCCAACGTGAATTCCTATCAGCAGGAGTTTGGTAAGGAAGCAGTTGTGACCACTTTTTCCTGAAATCCTAATGATATACCAACAATTTGCTGGGGGGGCCAGAAGCCAGACTTGTGCTGCTGAGGGAGTCAGCAACTAACCCAGAGGAAAGGTCAGTGAAAACTCCTACCACTCATTCCCAAAGTCCTTCCTCCTTCTGAGCATGTGACTTCACTGAGTCTTACAATCATTGAGAAACATTTACTGAACACCCACTTGCAAGGGTATACGGATGGCTCAGGCAAAGTTCCTGTCTGAATTAGTTTATGATGAAAGATTCCAAGAACTTGGTGAGTTACAGAGTAAGGGAAATTAATGCTTTGTATCAGGTGGCAAAATAAATACACACACATCCATTTGATCCACTCAGCAATAGAAGTCTGTATTAAGTAACCATAAGAGGCAGCTGTCAGTCATGTCATATAATAGGAAACACATGGCTGGGCTTTGAAATGGGGGATAAACACTTCCAAAGTTCCTGTGTCTAACAGCTTTCTGGACTGCAAAGTTTCTGTCCTGCAGAGGTAATGTGCTCACTAATAGTGATGGTGTCGTGACATCACTCAGGACACAGGCAAGAAAATGAAGTTTTTAATTTACTAAGCCTTCACCAACAGCCAGATCACAGTGGATCTGGCTTCTACGGCAATGCAGCCACCAACAGAGTACCATAAACATCACAGCACAGAAGGGAAGACGCCGGTTACCTGCTCTCTGCTGAACAGGGGGAGCAACTGACAAACGCAGAACAGAGACTTACTGGTCACTCTAAAACCCTTTATACCTTTTGAAATGTTGTACCCATTACATATATCACCCACTCAACCATTTAATTATTGTTTTTTGTAAAAAAAAAATACACAAGAAAAGAAGGCAAGGCTGTTTCTATGCTTCTACAAGAAAGTCAATGTGTGCCAAGAAATGTAACAGTTTACTACATTTACAGTCTGAGTGCCATTGAATGTGCCATTCTGCAAAGGAAAACATTAAGCCTTTTGCCCCTGTCTTTTCTAAGGAGATGTGAACAGTGAGAACTGTGGTACAGAAAGGTTTATCTCCTAGCCAGGGCCCAACCTGAAAACCAGAAAAGAAAAGATCTGCACTCAACCTTGCCAGCAGGGTCCAGGCTGCTCTGCCTGGGCACCCTTTAGAAGTAAGTGGTCAGGGAAGGAATTTTCAAGTGCTTCTAGTATAAGGAAACACTAATGAACATGAGTAAAGTTAAATGTGGAGATAACTTTTCAACTTCCCCCTGACAGGTGCAGAGCCAATGTCCTCATCTCCAGGTAGAAATTACCCTTTCCTCCTGTACGTCATTTCTGAAGATGAGGTTCCAGTCAATCCCTCCATCACTGGTTCTCAGCTCCACTTATTCCAGCCTAGCAGTTAGCTCCAGTAAGAGGCTCCTATCCTCTCATTTCTTACAGATCTTTCTCCCAGCCTCTACCCCATCTGCTGAAGGCAAATACAGCAGGCAGAGGACAGTCCTGGACCCACAAGCAAACATCCCCCACTTCAAGATCCTGACACCGCCTTAATCTACTGGTTTATTTCCCAGTTTAATTTTCTGAGTTGGAGCACTAATCCACTATTAGGGTTTGTGTCCCTAGCTGCAAGATAGGAGTAATATAAACATTACAAGGAATAATGTACTTGAGAAGACCTAAATCTGTGTGTGGTACCTAGTCTAATAAGAGGTGTTTCTCTCTGAAATGCTCTGGACACCAAAGAAATGACATGTCCTCTCACATCTCCAGAACTTTGCTTGTCAGCCTTTCTTTCTAGATGCGAGACTTTTTAAGGATGGAGCCCTGGCCCTAATCATCCTATGCCACCCAGAGAACTTAGTGTTGAGTCTGGCACATACCAGGGGCTCAAAATATGTTTGCTGTTGAATTTCTAAACTCCTTTCTACTGGAAGCAAGCACTCTTGGATCCTACTGGCATCCACACCTCCCACAGATCTCAGGGCAACCACACACTCACATACCCCATGCACACAGCCAAGAAGCATGATGAAAAGCTGAGTCGGGTCCAGCAGAAGCCCCTGTAAGCTGCTGCATGCCACTTCCAGCATGGCTTGAGGTCACACAAAAACTTTTTTGGGATCCTGAAACATGATCCTGTCAAAGCTCAAACAGGGCTCTGTCTTCCTAACACTTGAACAGCAGAACACGGAAAGGACTAGTAAAAGTGAAAACTTCACTTGGAGCAGTTCAATTTCCTACAGAAATTATTTCCATCCAGTAAATAACACAGAGGCCCAAGCAGGGAGGGGTCTGTACAAACTGGGCAGCTCTTAGGGCCCTGGAACAAGCCCACTCCCAGCTCCCAGGAAACTCCACAGAGCTTCTTTGCTGCAGGGAAGAACACAGTAATTAGTAATAACAGCCTCAGTAAGCAACTAACCTATGCCTTAAGCACCAAGACAAGTCCAAGTTACACTGCCCTGAGCACTTGCTTTCAATTCCATTTATCTGACTCTCTGCATTTTATAAATTGCTTTTGTGAAATATGCAAACATATTGAACATCTGCTCTGTACCAAGCCCTGGGGTGATAAAGGTAAATATACATAAGACTGAGTTCTTTGCCCTCCAAGAGCTAACAGGTAATTGGGGAGAGATTCAGGTGCAATGCAGTGTTAGGAGGATTATGACAGAGAAAAGCCAGGGTGCAAGCAGCACAGAGAATGTGGTGGTATCTGACCCAGACTAGAGGGGAGGAGGGACGGCCTTGGCAGGCTTCCCCCAGGAGGTATATCTGAACTTAGCTTTGAAGGATAAGTCGGAGTTAGCTGGGTGGTGGATGCCAGACATGTTGTTCCAGGCAAAGGCAGCAGAGTGTGCCAAGGCACAGGACTGAGAGAGCGCAAATGTCCAGGAGCCACAGGAGGTGCGTGTGCCTACGGCCCAGCGGTCGGTGAGGCTGAGCAGGAGACAGCCAGATCCTGAGAAGCCTCCTCTGATGCATTAAGGAATTTGGACCTTAACCTCTTGGCCTTACGAGGCACTGGCTAGGCTGAGGCAGGGAAGCAGCATGTTGGGAAGACTTGATTAAGATGATGATGGTATAGAACTAAGATGGAGGAGTCAGAAAGGTGCAGAGAGCCTGAAGATGGGCACCGGTAAGGACAGCACTGGAGAACCTAAGAGAGGGATGTGTGAGACGTGAGGGCGGCCTGTGCTGAGAAGTGGCGTGCCGGTGTGCATGTGCACTGGGAGATAATGTTTTTCTTTCCAGTTTTGGTTTCAGCTCTAGAAATCTCTGCACTTGTTCCCATCAGAACTCTTAGAAAAGTCTGGGTAACTATGCTAGGGGAAAAAATGCTGGCTCTGCTTTCCTCCGCCTCCTACTATTTTGGCTCCCTCTGATGTGATCTTGGGAGGTAGTTCTGACCTTCTGAGTCAGAATCTCAGGCTGTTCTGTGCTGTGAGGGCACAAAGATAACCTGACTCACCCAAGATGTCAGGACAGTGCAGCTCTTCTGTCAAGAGCAAGGTGACACACAAACAAGGCAGTTCTAAGGTTGGAGGATCCCATCTGCCCTATGAGGAGATGAGAAATGTAGGGACTCTCCTTATCAATGGCATTGTTGTTATTTTATTGGTATTATTACTACTGGCTTTGTTATTACACCATTGGGTCACCACCTCCCATTCCCACCCATAACATGCAGCACTGATAACGAGCTTTGTTCTTTGGAGTGGGACAGACTTGTCTTCAGATCTGTTTTGCCATTTTTGGCAAAATACCTAAGTAAGGGATACCATCCCTACCTCAGAGAGTGACTCTACGATGTTACACAAGGCACAGGGTGGCCCAGAAAGAGGTCAATGGATGAGAGCTATTATCACTGGCTTGCACGTTCAGGGCCTTCCTATATAAAGTGACTTCTCTTCCCCTGCTCCTCGTGTGGAAAGAGAAGAGAAGGAACTAGAAAAAAGGAGAAGGAGAGAGGGGGAAATAGGGATTGTTGAGAATATGAATGAATAGGTTAAAGCCTGTACAGATTCAAGGCAGACATAAAGACCATGTACAGATGCTTTCCATAAGACACATAGGATCTGCTCTCAAAGTCCTACAATTTCTGGGGCTGTTTTGGGGAATGAGTCAGCACAATCCAAAAGAAGATGCTTCTGATGTCTTATTGCTGGTGCTCACCAACCCCAGAGATGCCACCCCCCTGTGGCACACCGGTCTGGCCGTGCTGGGGCGCTGCCTGGCTGGAGCTCACTAAGCATGAAGCTGGCCAGAAACCAGCCTGGTCGGGTAGCCAGGTCCACTCCTGTTGCTGCAAATGGCCAAGTCAGCCAACTCTGAGGGCCATTTTGTTAAGGGAAGATACTGAGAACAGAATTGTCCTTTAAAAGTCTGTGAAGTCTCTGAGTGTTTTAATCTCTGAGACTGTATAAGAGAACTCCTTGAAGATAGGAATCACATCCTTATACAAGGAGATCTGTATAAGGCCCCACTGAACTTAGATGTCAGCAAAGAGGAGATAAGTATACGAGCAGAATAATTTTGGAGTC